ACGTAAACATCATTTGGAATAAATACTATCAGGGAGACACACAGGATGCTACGAGTGGGGACTAGAAGGCGTGTGTGGGGGCCATGTTAGTTTCTTGTTGTTGCAATAAAAAATTAACCACAAACTTGGTAACTTCAAATAACACAAGTCAGTTTTCTCAGTGCTCTGGAGGTCAGCAGGGTTGCACGCCTTCCTGCGGCTCGGCTCGGGGAGAGAAGGTGTTCCCCTGTTTTTCCCGGTTTCTAGAGGCTGCCTGCACTCCTTGACCCTCAGCCCCTTCCTCCATCCTCAGGGCCCGAGCACAGGGCCCCCAAATCTCTCTGAGCTCTGCTTCTGTCCTCACTTCTCCTGCTGCTGCTCCGCCTCCCTCTCCTGAGGACTCCTGTGACTACAGGGGCCCACCCAGATGATCCAGATAATCTCCCACCTCGGGATCCTGGAGTCTCAGGGACCTGCAGAGTCCCTGTTGTCATGGAAAGTAGTGCAGTCACAGGTTCCAGGGACTGAGTGGGGGCATTTTGGGTGGGGGCCATGATTCTGTTTGTCACTGGGACTGCCCGAATCCAGCAGTGGTCAGTCAAGAATTCCCAAGAAGGATGGTAGGTACCGGCAGGAGAGGGAGCTGGGAAGAGCCTTCAGGTGATGGGTGGGAGGGAACCTGAGGTCTGTGAGGAACAAAATAGAGGCCATTGTGACAGGCCAAGTGTAGCAGCCAATGACAGGCAAGTGAGAGACGCTGGAGACAGTGGTGAAAGTCACTGGATGATTTTAAGGCAGATTGGTATTCAAAAAGAGCACTTCTGCTGCTGTGTTGACTGTGAGGTTAGAGGTGGGTAAAGTGGATGCTGGAGGCTACATAGGAAGCTGTTGTAATTCAGATGAGAGAGGCTGGTGGCTGGGCCTCAGAGACTGAAAAGAAGGGATGGATCTGAGACATTTAAGGAGAGCGAGTCAATGAGACAGTGTGATGGATGGGTGCAGAGTGCAGAGGGGAACGTAGGGCGTGACCCTGAGGTTTCTTGCCGGGAAGAGGTAGCATTGTCACTTACTAAATGGGGAAACCCCAGGAGCAGATTCAATGTTGCACGGAAGGAAAACTGCAAGCTGGAGCTTTGGGCAGATTGATTTCGACTGCCTGTGAGACAGACAAGTGTGGATGTCAGTACTCATCCCCTCCGAACGCGCTCAGAAGGGAGGTTTCAGGGCGGAGGGAAAGAGTGGGACACGGGTAGCTCCCGGCTGCTGATTGAAGCCCTGGGGAAGGTTTTTGCCTGGATCCCAGAGAGAGGCGGGAGGAGAGGGAGGAGGGCCTCAGCTGAAGATGTCCCCTGGGGGGGGTGGCAGTGTTTGGAGCTCATGGGGGGCGGAGTTGGGGTAGAGTCCAGAAGGGGTTGTTCTCAGGGCAGGTGCGGAGGTGAGGAAGAAGTGCAGACACGTCTTGAAGAACAGCACGGAAAACTTTATGTGCATAGTGTAAGTTTCCTGCCGCTGCTGTAACAAATTACCATTACTTTGTCCCATAAGCAGTACAAAGTTATTGCCTTACAGTTCTGGGGGTCAGAAATCTGAATGGGGGGAGGGCGGTGCAGGGCTGTGTTCTTCCTGTTTTCGTGCCTTTTAAAATCCAGAGGCTGCCTGGGTTCCTTGGCTCCTGGCTCCCTTCCTCCATCTTCAAGATCAGCAGAGGCGAGTGGAGCCCTTCGCACATTGCATCTCCCTGATCTGTCGTCCTGCCTTTGTCGTCCCCCACTTTTAAGAATGCTTGTGATGATGCTGGTAATCCAGGACAATGCCTGCATTTTAATACCAGCTGGTTAGTAAATGAAGTCTACCCACAACCTGCGTTTCCCTTTGCCTTGGAGGGTAATGTGCTCTGGACAAGTTCTGGGCGTGAGGACCTGGGCATCTTTGGGAGACTGTTGTTCTGCCTGTACGCGTATGTGCAAAAGTAGAGACAGAATAGTGCATTGAGTCCCACCTGCTCACCACTGAGCTTCAATAGCACAATTTTATTCCCATTTCACCATTGGATCATTGGAAACAAATCTTAGAAATCACCTGATTCATTTGTAAATGTTTCAGAGCATTTACAAAAAAGATGGTGGTTTAAAGAGGCCTATCTGTTAAGGAGAGGTGAGAAAGAGGGCGGGAACTGGGGGAGGTGTGTGGGAGAGTATGTGTGTATTTTTAATAGGAGACACATTTACGCACGTTAAATTCTGACGGGAAGGATTTAATAGTAGAGAAGAGGTTGGTCTTAGACAAAAGAGACCAACCTCTTTAGCATTAACAGGGGAGCACAGAGTTTTGGAGGTTTGGGAGTGTGAAATGATGGGAGTTCTTCTCCGCTGGTTAAAAAACATTTTTTTTCTTGTTGGGAGGCCAGTGAGAAGGGCAGAGGGAATGCCGAAGTTCTGAGGAGCTTGGGGAACGTTGGGAATGGTTGTTGCGGAGTGGGGAGGGAGAGCCCTGGAGAAACACTGTTGGAATGTGGGACATGTTCCGTGGACCCTAAGCTGAGTGAGAAAGCAGAGGAGTAAGAGGTGTCACGATGTATGTAGCTGTGGTAGGAGGGCTTTGGAAGGCAGCAGGCAGAGCTGAGCCTGCCTAGGTTTTAGGGGGCCACCAGATGCAGGGACTCGGGGAGTGGGCGGCCGAAGTGGAACAGAAGACAGTTGGGAGAGAGGACCTCAAGCTGCTGAGAGAGCAGGGTGTGAGGCGGCCCTCCACGCGGTGCTGAAGCCACCCAGGAGGCCGGCAGGAGGTGGGGTGTGAAGGTGCCTTCTGTGAAGGGGGGTGGTCAGCGGAGGCGGGAGAAAGGAAGCCCTTTGTATGGAGGCTGGTGGGCACCGGCCACAGAGGGGCAGGGGTTTGGACAGGGTGTTGCTCTTCACACTGCCGCTGGGTCACTGTCCTTCGTATGAGTAGTCATCCCCTTCTCCAACCCCCCCTCCAATGGGAGAATGTCAAGACAGGTAGACAAAAGCAGACTCGATTTAATAATTCCCAAACAGCAGAAAGCACGGATGAGCTTGAATATGTGTGGCTAGCTCCTAAAGAAAGATTTAATGAGACCTGCCTCCATGGGCCCCCCCCACCACGACTGGCATTCCTTCTGGGTGCTAAGCCATGCGTGCTGATGTGGCTTCAGAAACGGCCATGGGTGTGTTTAATATGCATTATTTACATCGATCTGTGGTTGAGATGTAGCTTTATGAACATTTTTAGTGATTTTTGTCCGTACCATAAAATCCTGCTATATTGTGATATGTATTATTTAAAAAAATTCAGCCTCGTCAATGGGGCTACTTTATTGTGAAGGCGGTGAAAGCCACACGTGTGCACACACCCTAAAAGGCAGTGAAACCACTGTGCACACAGCTGACCAGGGAAGGGGAGCCTGCGGTGAAGGGGAAAGGAATGTGGATTGGCGGAACAGTATGCGGACATGGAAAACAAGGGAAAACAAGATGTTGTGATAAGGGATGGAGTGTGCTCTCTCTGCTGTGGTTCTCTTTGCATAGGATTGGGTTGTTTTGCATTTAATGGTGCTTATTGACATGTGACCATTTTGACTAGCTCTCAGCCCACGTTTTTGCCATTTCTTCCTGTGACAGGAGATGCTAATTATATTAGCCCAGAATAAGTAGCAGCAGCAGATTTTTTTTTAACAGTCTCTTTTTCTTTCTAAAATACCTATCTCCTAAAGCTTTGAGATTCTGTGAGCTGTGAATCTCCTGTGATAGCTGGAGTGCAGGAGAGGCTTGTAGGGCAGAGCCATGGTGCCCAGGAGCCCGGTCCCACCCAACCCACACTCCTTGCCTCTCCAACCCGACTTTGGTCACATTTCCTGATCCCAGCAGACCCATTCAGGCCCTGGGGAGGAGTGATAAGCAGCGTGGTATTGCCGGTGCCCCCTGGCCCTTAGTTGGGCTCGAGAAATGGTTTTGTTTGATAGGATTGCTCTGCAGAGCTTTTGGGTAAGGTCTTGGGCTCCCAAGTCTGACTCCAGGTTCCAGTCCCGCCTCTGCCACTGTGGTCCTTGGGCAGATTCTCAACCCTTCTGAGCCTCATGCTTCTGTCCGGGAAATGGGGATCATAGTAGTACTTACCTTGGAGGATTGTAGTGAGAATAAGGAGCACAGCCACTGGCACATGGCAGGCCTTCCCAGTAACTGTTCCTTGTGTCGGAGCGGTTCACGCGGCTTACCAATTTGATGCATTTGGGAACTGTTAGGTTTTCAGTTGTATTTCTCCATTATTTACAATATCCCTTGGACATGGCACTGTCTCAATAGGGTCTTCTCTGACCACCCTATTTAAAGCTGCATCTACCCACCTTCTTATGCCCCCTCCACTGTGTCTCTCCTCTGCCCCATACTCCCTGGAGCGCCTGACCTCATTTCCCATGTTATTTTTCTCCCTTGTGCGTATCGCCTTCTGTCCAGCGTGCTTGCTCTTTCTGTCTTCATCCACCAAACTGTGGACTCGGTGGGAGCAGGCATCGTGTCCTCTGTGTTTGCTGTGCTATCGAGAGAGCCTAGAGCAGTGCCCAGCCCATAGCAGGCATGTGATACATCTCTATCAGGATGAAGAAATTGACTTTCAAAGTGATGGTATGATTCCGTACACTGCCGAATACTATTAAAGCTGCCTGTTTATATATATATATATATATACTGTATAAAACTATCTGAGCTTAGAACGTGCCGGGTTTCAGAAGCTCTTGATTCAGGTCGCTTGTTGGCCTGTGTCAAGCCTCCTGTCCCAGCAGAAGATGAGTGAGGCCAGGGGGGACAGGACAGAGGATGACCAAGTCGGATGAGGAGAGGATTTACGGCTGGGCGACTTCTGACACCTCTTCTTTCAGCACAAACATCACCAACGGTCCCAAACACAGGGCACCCCGGGGCAGTGCCGTCTCAGGGGGCCCCTCAGTCTCATTTTACCTCCTTGTCTGCTCTTCATGCCGCAGAGCTTTTGTTATTTTTCTCTTTCAGGGCACCAATGCCTCTGCTCTGGAAAAAGACATTGGTCCAGAGCAGTTCCCAATCAATGAACACTACTTCGGATTGGTCAACGTGAGTATTTAAGAAATGTATTATTCTTACCAAATATTTTAGAGTACTTGAGGCCACTCCACTGCCATTTTTCATCCACAATTTTTAGGTAATTGTTCACGCTCTTTAGTTACTGGAAGCGGCACATGTCAGGGAGGGGGGAATTTAGTTCCGTTTTTGAAAGTGCCAGTTGTCTCAGGAAGAAGGGTTTCATTACTGCATCATGGGGTCAGGTTCTTACATTTTTTCCCGCCTGTGTTTTAAAGGATTTCCTTTGTACACATAACTTTCAGAGGGTATTTGATGCACCTCTGTAGCCAAATCTGCTGTTACATGTTCTCCCTTCACCCTCTGCATAAGTGAAGACTCCTCAGTCTTCGTCTCAGCACGCATCCCTGCAGTCAGAGTTTTAGACGTGTTACCGGCTCACCACCAGTAACTGTGTAAGGATAGGACTCGGCGGTGGTGTCTGGAGCAGGGGCGGCGTGTGGGGCCCGGTTTATCTCCGAATTCCCGGGCCTCATCCTGGTACCTGCACGCAGCAGTAGCTCCCTTCTGTGTGAGCAGACTCACCAGGCTCTGCTTCCTGGGTGAGTCGGTCATGGCCACGTAGGAAGGCAGTGTCACCCGCTGCCTTCGTGAGCTCTCTTCCTCACCCAATCCTTTCTCTCTGAGGTGGAACTGGCAGTGACATCAAGCTTTAACTCAAAAGCACTTTGTTTTCTGAACAAGTGCTCTGAGCTTAATCAGTCAGTGCCCTGGCGTGATAGGTCGCAGTTTCCACTGGGGAGGCCGGAAGTAATCTCTGCAAGCGGATGCTGCCTGTGGTGTAATGGAGATAATATTGGCTCCCAAGTAGTACAGACCTTGGAATATGTCTGAGTGGTACCTGTGCTGCTCACTAGCTGTGTGCTCTTGGGCAAGTCACTTGACCTCTCTGAGCCTCCTTTCCCCCATCTGCACCTCTTGGCCCACCAAAGACCTTGACATGAGGCTGAGGTCCCGCGTGGGCACTTGGTAAACATAAGTTTCTTTTTTTCCCTAGGAGTTGCCCCTGGATCAAGACCAAGTGCTGTTGAAGGGTATTTGGGTAAAGGCAAGACATTGTGTAACAGGAAAGAGTGAGAGGAGGAAGGCTGCCGTGCTGGAGGATAGGGCGTTGTGCTGATGAAATACTGACTCCTCATTTTAACACACGTTTTTTTCAGCCACTGTGTGCAGGCCTCTGCTTAAGCTCCATGAAGATAGTTATCCAGGTTGTGGGGATTCTGCCCTGGCTAAGGAATGTACAAATGCAGACTTTGGGGAAAAAAGAAGTAAGGCCGCTTCCTAGTTTGTGGGAGCGTTGTGAGATCTAAGTTTATTAATAATAGCTTTATGTTCACTTCGAATGGTAATTCATAAAGAAATTCCAACTTTTCTTTAAAAAGAGGTTTGTCTCCTATTACATAATTGTGTCCAACTAGATTAAAACGTGTAGAAAAACAGGAAGTGTTCTATCTCAGCCTACCTTAGAGACGCCATGGGAAGTGGTGGAGCTCCTGTCTGGCTCCCAGGTAAACGGCACACAGGCCACCGCTGATCCCGAGAAGACACGCGTGTTCTATTTTAATCTTTCACAGCACTTCAACAGCAGTGATGCTGATCTTGTTATTTCCGTAGTGTTCTTTCTTTCCACTGTGTAGCAGAAACCCTGAAGCGATCGTCTCCGCCCTGTTCTTCCACAGAGTTGGTTTTCCAGTCAGTACAGACCAGCGAGGGGATGACCCCTTCCCTCTTTAATCATCATCGCGGTGTCTCTGGAGGCTGAGAGCACAAAATATTTCTGTGCGGGGGCCCCGCTCTGATTGTAGGGGGCCTGGCACTGGGTGGCACTGGATTGCCGTCCTGGCGGAAGCAAGGTCGAGGGCAACTGGGGAGTTGCGAGGGAGGGAGCCGGGGGCACGACTGAAGGAGGACTCTCGGTGGCTCCGGAGGACAGAGGACGCGGGGAGACTGGTCTGAAGCCTGTGGGCAGGGACGCTGGGACCCTGAAGGCGAGAAACCGAAACAAGCCCCCCATTCCGTGAAAGCTGTTTCATCTGAGCAAGGGGTTCTCCTGGTCCTGGATTTCTTTTTGATCTGGGTTTTTATTTTTGCCCTCAGGGAGTTTGTATGTATTGCTGTGTGGTGTCTTTTACTTAGCCAGTTGTTTTTCTGGGTCCCCAGATTATGTCATGTTTTCTTTATTTTTTTTAAGCACCAGAAGGTCTCATTAGATTTTTAAAATTTATTTATATTTTATCCAGGCAGAGTACTTATTATCATTTCAGAGATGCTGATGGGCTAGAGAGGCCCCAGGCTGGTGTTAACTTGTATTCATACCCCTGTGGACCAGCTCTCGGCCCGTGTTCCGAGCGGTTTGCTAGTTTCCTGACCTGGGGAGCAGGACCCCAGCTCAGGGGCACCCAGGCCCAGGCCCAGGCCCAGGCCTGCCGGTGGAGGCTGGCCTTCTCGCTCTCCCTGCCTGGGCCGGTGGCGGTGGCCTGTCCCCGGGCCGTGGTGTGAAGCGTCCCTGTTGTCCTTTGGCAGTTCGGGAACACCTGCTACTGCAACTCCGTGCTGCAGGCCCTGTACTTCTGCCGGCCGTTCCGGGAGAACGTGCTGGCCTACAAGGCCCAGCAGAAAAAGAAGGAAAACCTGTTGACGTGCCTGGCAGACCTTTTCCACAGCATTGCCACGCAGAAGAAGAAGGTCGGTGTGATCCCACCAAAGAAGTTCATCTCGAGGCTGAGGAAGGAGAACGGTGAGTGGTGCGGCGGACCGGTGTGCCAGGGTCTGACATGAGAAGCGACAGTTCGCGTGTCCTCAGAGTGAACCCCCCCACCCCCCCGGGGAAAAGGGGATGGCCACCTGTTCACACATACTTTTTTAAAGAAAAGATATTTCTCTTTCTCCACTCAGCATACATAAAACAAAACTGGATAAAATATATGCTTAAAAATTCAAATTTGTCATCTCAGTTTGGAATGGTCTTTTTATTTGCTTCACAGTTGGAAGGCGTTTTTTTTTTCCTGGGTAGACCATTGTGAGAGGGAAAATCGCCCAAGGCAGCCTTCTGAGCAGGACACTCATGGGAAGAAATCGGTTGATGCAGTAATTGAATAAAATAGTACTATTTTAGGAACTTGTCATAAGTGATTAAAGTAAATGCATATTATCTAATCAGAGCATCTGTTTAAAAAATAATACCTCTGATTTTTATGTGCCTAAGATAATTGAAAGATGTTAAATTGATAACCTTTATATAATAAAATGTCTTGCTGTCACAAATGATTTTTTTTCTTTTTACATCTTTTTGTGGGGGTGGGGGCAGTGGTGGTAGAGACTAGGTTATTCCAGAAGTTTTGCATTGGTAATTTTTGTGACTAGAAAAATATTTGATATTTGTGTTTATCCTAGATTTCAGCCTTACTCTACCAGATTCTCAGTTAATTAGATGTTTGTTTTATAAAGGCTCATTTAATTTGATTGCTGTCTTTTAAAATTGTTGTAATTTATACAGACCAGAATAAAAATAATCTGAGAAGGGGGCAGGGCACTCCCGAGTCTCATTGTGAACATGATTAATAATGAGTCCTCACAGCTGCATCCATCCCGAGACTGTCCGTCCGTATGGCGGGGAACAGCAGTGGGCTTCCGGAAGCATTTGTATTTGGTTTCGGAACACTATCTGATAGATGCATTCTCACAAACAGCCCTCATCTCCCTTACGTGCTTCATTTAAGCTGCTTCCAGGCTGATCCAGGATTTAATACGATCTCTGGGAAGAGACCTCAGTTGCTCTGGATAAATTACAGAATAAATAAGTGACCATTGGTGGTCACATCATATTAAATATTGATATTAGGGAATTTATTTCTGCTATTTTTCTTCTCTTTTTGTAGAAAAAAATATTTTGGTGGCTTTTATTTATATAATGACTTTGGGGAAATATAGGACATTTAGTTCTTGGTGGGTGGTAAAAAATGGAAATGACCAAAAATTCTTTTCAAACTCACCTATTGAAGTTGCCAAATGGAGATGAATATATTCCATACCAGCCCATCCTTTCAACATAAACACTGAAGCGTGGCCTGTAAAATTGAGCATTTCGTTTGCTTTTCAAGCATCAGAGATTGAAATAATGACCTTCTCCTTTCCAGATCTCTTTGATAACTACATGCAGCAGGATGCTCACGAGTTTTTAAATTATTTGCTAAACACTATTGCGGACATCCTGCAGGAAGAGAAGAAACAGGAGAAACAAAATGGGAAATTAAAAAATGGCAACATGAACGAACCTGCAGAGAATAATAAACCAGAACTCACCTGGGTCCATGAGATCTTTCAGGGAACGCTCACCAACGAAACTCGATGCTTGAACTGTGAAACTGTAAGCATTGTGCGGGCTCTCGTGGAGTGTGCTTGTGCCTGTCTGTACAGGCCGTGCTGTGTGTGCGTGTGACGTGGTGTTGTATTCTAGTATCTGGCCTTGGTCTTCACTGTGTGCATAGAGTTCTACTTGTATACATAACCTTGGGTACAAACGTCGGGAAGCACGTCTCCATCTAAGATGTGTCACTCAACTGGCTAAGGTAGAGCGATGAGGGCACATCTTAATGACTGGACTACTTTGCATCCTGGGCAAATTTTAGGGTCCACCAATTGAACTGTTGAACTGGACCTCCAGCCAGTGATCTTGAAAAGATTTTGGTTACAAGGAGGTCATGTGTAACTTAGACCATCCCCCCAACTATAAGGAAACCAGTAGTGTGGTATGGTGAACTTCAAGTCAGAAGTCAGGCTTGACTCCTGATTCTACCGCGGTTAGCTGGGTGTTCAAGTGAGTCCCTTACATCACTGTTGTGTGGGCTGGGTGGCCTTATGTGTTTAGATGAGTCTGGCACGTGGTAGACACTTCGTGTTAGTTGAATTTGAAGACATGATCTCCAGAATATGATTCAGGATGTCATGTTTGCTTGGTATATTTGATTTAATTCTATGTGTGGCCATGTGATATGGTAGTTAGAACCCAGCTCTAGCCCTGGCCAGTGTGGCTCTGTTGGTTGAACATCATCCTGCAAAGCCAAAGGTCGCTGGTTTGATTCCCAGTCAGGGCACATGTTTGCATTGTGCAAGAGGCACCTGATCTCTCTCATATCGATGTTTCTCTCCCTCTGTTCCTCCCTACCTTCCCCTCTCTCTGAAATAAATAAATGCAATCCTAAAAACAATAAAAAAGAACCCAGCTCTAGAGTTAGGTGGTGAGTTTGTATGTTGGCTCAGCCACTCGGTGACTATGGGACCCTGTACGTATTTCCCACCTCTCCGTCCTCACCTCCTCTGCAAATTGGCGATGACGAGAATGCCTGCGGGTTCATCAGGGGTCTCAGAGTTTCCTGACATGGTGGGGAAAATTCTGTAGGAGCGTGCACTTTCTGCTGCAGAGAGAGGTAGTGTCTTCCATCAGACTCTGCAAAGGGGCTGTGGCCTAGTGGTAGTTAAGGCATGTGGGTTTAAGTGGAAGGCTCTTCATTTTTTGACGGTCTTTCTTCTGTCCTTTTAAACAGTTTTGGAATCAACTTTCCAATTTCTTCACTCTAGAAAAATTAGAAAACATAGCGAAGCAAAAGAGACTAAGATAATCAGTAATCTCCCCACCTGGAGTTGATAAATTTATAACATTTTCTAAAAATTGTGATCACATTAGCCAAGAGATAACCACTTGAATATTTTGAAATATATCCTGCCAAAACATTTTCTTCACATACTTACCTATTGAGACATCTTTCCTTCTCCCCTTTCTCCTTCTGTTCCTTGGTCTTTTATAGTCCAATGAAATTCAGATGAACACACAATTAGGACGGTATAATAAATCCCATGTATGTGTTACTTGGGATCAGTGATTAACACATTGGGCCATCCTGTTCATCTCTTGTTCCATGCGCCCTCCCCCATCACCAGACGGGTTTATTTTTAAGCAAATCTCAAATAATGTATCATTTCACTTGTAGTTTCTATATTACTTTGTTCCAAATCTCTAAAAGGTAAGAAATCTTTTTATTCAAGACATAAATACTATTACTTTGAAAAATAAGTCCATTAAGTCATTATTCACTCACCATTCAAATTTGCCGAAACCTTTCTCATTTTATATGTATTTTTTAGCAGTTGCTAATTCAAATCAGGATATATACATGTCCACACAATTGTACTTGGTCAGTCTGTGTCTTACTCTGTAGGTTACTCCTCCCCCATTTTCTTCCTCGCAGTTTATTTGTTGAAGAAATCAGGTTATTTGTCTTGCAGAGTTTCCCATATTCTGGACACATCTGTGGTGGTGGTGTTTATTATGTGTAGTAAATGGCAGTATGTTTTTACCATCCCACTCTTTGTTTTTATTTAACACACCTATTTTATAGTTCTTTTTCTCTGTTGCCTTTTTTTGGATCAATTAAATGTTTTTGTTTCAGGCTTTGAAAGAAACATGTTACTAAATCCATCTTCTAGCACTCCATGTGGGTTTTCAGGAAGGCTCAGATGAGACACTCAGTTTTATTTGTAGTTTCTTTTTTTTGTCTGTGAACAGGTCATTTGATCCCAACAAATGCAAACAGTGCATCTCAAACCTTTGCACTGGAAAAGCCATTGCCTAGCCTGTTACTTCCTGAAGGGCTACCGTAGATGGGAACCCTGAGCCCAAGGGTCTCTCCAAAAATTTTGGATGGAACTCTAGAGTTTGCAGTAATGGGATTCCAGCCGTGTGTGGTTGGCTTGTGGAAGCACAGGGGGTATGTGGGTGTGTCTTTCTGGAGGATGGGGCAGTCGGATTTATTCTTATAGGTATTCCTCCCTGAAATGATGGCTAGATGACTTGAGGCAAGAGTGTTCTTCCCCTTGGAGTTTTGTGGGTAATCGCCTCCATTTTCTTAGACCCTTGAACTGAACAGGATCCTAGGAGTCACCTAATCCTCTCTCCCCACGCCCGAGTCCCTTCTGTGTCATCAGAGCCAGCTGGTCACCAGCATCCCCTGGACCCTGTCCAGAGACGAGGAACTCGATCTCCTGAGATGCATTCCATTTTTAGAAAGCTCTAATTGTTAGAAAGCGCTCTACTTTCTAAGAACATACATAACTTGCAGCCTTTTTTCCCCTGGACTGTCAAATGTTGAAGACCTAGTGTAAGAGAGCACTTAGTGTTCAAGTTTTCCCTCCCAAGATGAGAAACCAGGCCCCCTTTGAGTAATGTCCTCTGCTCAGGGCGGGCCGCCTTTAGACTGTGCGTCAGTCAGAACTGTGAAATCTCACAGTGGGATTAAACTGCCCCAGATCCCGAGCAGCAAATTAGCCCCCCAGGGAGCCCGGCTATTGTAGTTGCCTGGCTGCTGGTTCCTCTAATTGTGGACAACTCCGTGTGCCAGCCTTCATGCTTTCAGAAAACAATGTGGTGTTTTTTTTCTTCTTCTGGGTCTCACCCTTGGTAAATGTTGCTTGTGATTGCAGTACAAATGTCAACTGTGAGATTTATGGAGACAGTTTCCTTCTGCAGTAAACTTGGGGAGACCATTTTAAGGGGTAATTCGGTGCTGACTTTCCTAGATGACCTTGAACAACACGCTGCAGAATGGAGGCATGGGGGTTTTGCAGGGTAGCCTCAGCGCTCCCTTGGTGGTTCTTCACTCAGTTCATAAGATTTGCAGGGCCAGTGGGAGCTTCATTTTGTTGTTAATGTGCCCCCTTTCCATTTAAACTGAGTTTTTGCTCTGCAAACCTGTGGTTTTCCATGCTTCTTGGTGGCTTTAAGACACATTTCTGTCTGTTACTGAGCCAAAGATTGTCTGAAGAACTGCTTTATTAAGTACCAGTGGCGTATATAGCTCCTTCTTGCTTTGTCTGCAGGAGTTAACATTGATCCAGTAGAGCTCTGAGCCCTCATGAAAGCTGATGGGGGCGGGCAGTGGGCCAGGTGTGATTCTGCGTTCCTGGGATTCAGGTGGCCTGTAGTTGCCGCTTGTCCTGAGGCCACCTTTTGGCACCGCCCTTAGCCAGCACATGTTCAGTTCCTGGCCCGATAGCCCGGGGCTCCTTCCTGCCTGGCCACCTTTTTTACTCCAGGAAGGGAGTCTCTGAATTTACTTAGAAGCACATTTGAATAGGATTTTAATGTCTCAGTGACTGAGCAAAGCTCATGATTTACATGTATGTATGCCCTAGAAACTAATTTGTGCTGGTAATTGATTTATAATTGTTACTTTAAGAAGAAGAGCAAGTTGGGTTTCTTCCCCCCTTCTTAAACTAGAGTTTTCGGGGAGCTCCATGCCCAGAATGGGGGGAAAAGAAAGGAGAATAAGATGTTAGCCTGGACTCGTGGAGAGTATTAGTCTTAGTGATATATATGTTTCCGTGGAGACAAGCTGTATTTTCAGTTAGACCAGAATGAGATGCTTGTGTGTGGGAAGAAAATGGTTTTATTTTCTGGCAGCTTTCTGGGGAGAGAGAGAGAGAAGAAAAAATTGCTTGATCACTCATTGCTTTCAACTCTGTCAATCTGGGCCGGGAGCGCGAGCAGCTCAGGTGGGAGAGTCAGTGCGTGTTCTGATCTCCCCAGCAGGGCCGATCCACAGAGCCATGCTTCCTCTCACTCTTAATTCCGGAAGCAGTTTGCATTGGGGATTGAGAAAGTTACAGTCGCTTCATTCTGTTCGTTAATTAGATTTGTGCCTCTCCCCCTCTCCTGAAACAACTAAGTAGGGAAAAAGCTTTCCGCGTGACTGGAGAGACAGTGTTTCTTTGTTTTTGTGCTCTTCCAGTTACAGGAGCTTTAGCAGAACCTGACCCTCCCTGTCTAAATGATGCATGATTTCAGCTGGCTTTCATACTGTTTTTTTCCCTGGAGAAGGGCCCCTTGGGTCTAGGGAAAGTTTTGATAATTAAACAAAAATACCTGTGGATCATTTTAAGAAAGCAGAAAGTATAAAAAGAAAATCATTCAGTTCTGTCACCCAGATGTCTCTGTTGGCATTTAGATGTCTTTCTACTCATTTAGCCTTTTGTTTTGTTGTTTATTCATTCAATTAGTAAATATTTATTGGGTACCTACTGAATGCTGAAAATTATCCTAGCTATTAAGCAGTTAGAACAAACAGAAAAGGTAGTCCCTGCTCTATTGTCTCTTAGTATATACATTTAAAGCTACACATTTTCCTTTAAGCCCTGCTTTAGCTGCATCCCACAAATTGTGATATGTCGGCATTGGTTCAAAATATTTTCTGATTTTCTCACGATTTTTTTGTCTTTGATTTCTTTGATGCAGTAATTAGAGGTATATTGTTTAATTTTCAGATATTTGGGGTTTTCCTAGATATCTTAATGTTACTGACTCAGAATTTAATT